CTTGGGAACATGTCGGGATGCTCGAAATGACAATGTGTGTTGTTTGTTTGAGTGTCAGGGTCGTGGTCGCGGTCGCAGTGTGTGTGTGTGTGTTTCTGTGTGTGTGTGTGTGTGTGCGTGCATGCATGCATGCATGCATGCATGTATGTATGTATGTATGTATATACATATCTGTATATATATATATATATATATCCTTAGACCATAGGCCCCGAAACCCTGCCTTTCTACAATCCCCCTCGAGGCGCCTCGTCTGTCCGCCGGGGCAGCTGGCCCAGGTCGATTGCTTGGGGCCTGGGGTTTCCGACAAATCACGGTTTAGGGTTTAGGGTTTAGGGTTTAGGGTTTAGGGTTTAGGGCTCAGGGCTTAGGGTCTAGGGTTTGAGGGCTTAGGGCTTGGGGTCTAGGGTTAACGGTTTAGTGGGTCGGTTTTAGGGCTTAGGGCCTAGGTTTGGGGCTTAAGGTTCACGGTTTAGTGGGTAGGTTTTAGGGTTTAGGGTCTACGGCTCAGGGTTGTTGGGCTTTCATTTCTGCGCTGTCTCAGGCGCCCTGTTCGCTCGCCAAAGCGTCGCTTTGCCGGTGCTCGAGGTTTCATGGGGCCGTGGAAGGGGTTGGTAGGGTTCAGTAGGCATATGGCTGGGTAAGGGCTTACCAGATTCTGCAAATCTTTTTCTCGCTTTTATGGGTCTCCAGAGTGCAGTTTAGGGTTTACGGTTTAGGGGCGGGCATAGAAGGGTTTAGGCTCTAAGAATTGGGTCCGAGGGCAGGTTCTAGGGCTTCAGGCGGATACACAGGGGTGGGCTCAAGGTCGGTGAGGTAATCCTAAATAAGGGTCCTTACATACGGGATCCTTTCTCAAACCTACCTTCATCCCACCTTTCCAAGGCCCTCGATACTAGTTTAGCGTTTTTGGGTGTTGCAGGTGAGGCTTGAGCAGCAATTGTCTTGTTACCACCCCTGCATCGCCACCCTGAACGCCTCCTCCAAACCGCTTTCCACTGTATTGCATCTCCCTTCAAGAGCAGCAGGCAGCAAGGAGCAGGGAAGATTCTCGAGACACAGACGAGACACTTCAAGCGGATTCGAAGGCGAATGACGGCTTGATTGCTCTTGCAACTCTTGTACTTCGTTGTCACTCTCATCCGTGTTGCGTTGTCCTGGGCCTCCGGCCAGTTGCCCGGCCGATCGATCACCGCCGGAGCCGCCTTGAGGGTCAAGAAACCACTCGCATGCAAAACCCTCCCCGTCTGTGGTCGCGGCGGGGCTGCCAGAGGAGATGGGCCGATTTCCTGCAAACCAAGGGCCACGCGAGAGTTGTACCCGGAGCTCAGACAAACCCCAAGCCCTGAACCCCTAAGCCGTCAGGAGGTGGTCCTGATGCGTCGCTCTTGGCAAGGCTCTGCTCACTTGCGGGCCGCGGGCCTCAAAGGGCCAAACCCCCACCCCAGAAAAAAACTCTGACAGCACGGGAGCCCAACCTGCCGTCACCCGCTTCAAGCTGGACCTGACGGAAGCATCCCCTTCCGTCGAATGACCCGTCGACAGAGCGAATTGCATCCAGGCCGCAACACCGCCGAAAGTTTGCTGGCGGCAGTCTCTGCCGCAGCTGCAGCAGCCGCTGCTGCACCTGCTTCATGCGCCGTCTACAAGCATGCCTGCGGCGGTACCATGGCTGATGGCGCAGTCTGAGAACATCCCGGTCTCTAGGGTGAACCCCCATCGGGACAGCCTTCTGCAGCTGCTGCAGCAGCGGGAACTGGCTGCCTGACCACGACGCGGTGTGCTCGTTTTATTGTGCAATCGGCAACTGCCAACAGCGACGTCTTCTGTGCCTGTCGAGAGCTCCAGCAATCCCCGGCTCGCTGCGGACGATCTCGTAGCCATGTTTCGTGGCAGACTTCATCACCGCCTCTGCTGCCCGTGCTCACCCTAAACCCTTAACCCTAAACCCCTCCGATAGAGCAGTGTGAAAAGCCCCGGCCTCGAAGCCACCGCTGGCGACAGAGATGTGTCTCAGCGTCAAGTCCTGGGTCAACACCTGACACATTTTAATGATGTATTACTGTATACTTGAATGTAGGTTAATATACGATAATATACTACCAAATACTATCCTATACTATCAGTTACTATCGTATCCTGACAGATACTATCACATACGATCATGTACTACCATATTGTATCATATACTTTAATACACGATGCCATACCATCATATACCATCGTATACCAACATACATACATTAATATATATATATGTATACATATTTCTGTGTATATGTACATATCAATATATACACATACTTACATATATGTTTCTTTTCCATCATTTATAAAAAAAAAAAAGTGTGTGTGTATATATATAT